CAGTAATTTACAAAATAAAATTCGTCATTCTCCTACGACGTTCTTTTACGATTCTCCTTTCGACACCCTTCGACGTCTTTAACAACACTTCACTGAACTACACGACCCACGTTATCTAACATACTATGAGATTACGAAGTGTCTTAAATTATTGGTACTATACTAATTCTAATGTATTTCTAGGACACTCTAAAGGATTAGTTTTGAAAATTGTTGCCGGAAAACTGCTCCAGTCTCATACAGTACAATTGGTGAATGAAAATTTCCCTACATCAGTTCTTTGCTTTTTTTGGTCCTAATTTTGTGATTGTGGTCCCTTCTACCAAAAATGGACAAAATGGATAAAATGTCGGTGAAGCAGTCTACTAGAACACGATATCTTCCCGTCAAACGAGAAAGAGAGAGAAAGAGAGAGAGAGAAAAAGAGAGAGAAAAGAGAGAGGGAGAGAGAAAAGAGAGAGGGAAGAGAAAAAGAGAGATAAAGAGAAAGCGAAAAAGAGGGAGAGAAAGAGAGAGAGAAAGAGAGAGAAAGAGAGAGAGAAACAGAAAGAGAGAGGCAGAGAGCATTTGAACGTCTGGTGGCAGAAGCCTACGATTTCACGAGCAACAGGAGTGTTTATCCCAAGATCGCAGCAGCGCGGTCGCCCAACCGCGAGTATCAGGCGCGCGATAGCGAAAGTTAACCTGCGTGCGCCCGGCGGAGGCGGAAGGCAAGGCAGATGCGCGAGCTTTCTCTCTCGCGACGCGACGCGACCCAGGACGCGCCGGTCAAGCTATCCGCCACGGCCACATTCCTCCGCCTGTTGCGCCAATCGGCATCCGAGCACCTCACCGCTTTTGGACGCCCGCGAGGAGACCCCGCGGCCACCGGGCAGTGCCTCCGATTGACATCAGAATAGAAAGTAAGCAAAACGATAAGACAGACTCAACTCAACCAACACAAACACGCACAGACCCACAACACCCACACACCTACAGCACCCCCCACACTCACACAAAATGGCCTAGAATTACTAATTAATTTTCAATGAATGATACGGTGACAATGATGACAGAACCCATTATAAATACTGTATTGTATTCGAAGAATAAGAAATATTTGTATAGCACCTTTTCCAGATGTTGCAGTTGCAGTGCCTTGCTCGTAGATTAATGGTGAAATCTTCTTCTTCTGTTATTACGTCTTCCTGTTAAGGTGGCTAGAGATCACGTGGCAATTCAATTCTTCATACTGTCATGTTTTCTCTTCCACTTTTCAATATTGCTTTATCCTTTCACTGTTTCCTTCTTTCCTTCTTGGACTATTTGTAAACGGGTTTATATGCGTACATATAGGTAGATTAATTTATATTATAGATGAACAGTATCAAGAATTATACTAGTTGTCTATAATAATTGCTGCAGTTAACAGGAATCCCTTGATATAGCGTGTGAAATGTCAATTTGTATTCCATCAGTACAGAAGTTGTTAACTTGTATATAAATTACTTTCCTTCTTCAACAGAAAACAGAAGTTCCCTGTAAAGGCAATTTACTTTCAGATAGAGAGCACGATAGTTTTACACCGCTTTTTGAAATCCAGAATTTAAATTTCTGTCACTAGTGGAATTTGTGCTATACTATATCCCGCTCTTATGTATACAGCGGACTGTGACTGAACAAAGCGGATTAGGGGCAAGTTCCTTTGGGATTCTGATCTTTCACCTACTTCTTAGTTCATGATTTCCCCATTATTATGCATCACATCAACTATTAATCAAATCGTCGATACCTGGTAAGAGCAGAAGGTTAGGTAATTCTGTTATTATATATACACACAATATATTCTTAATTGGATCTCATAGCAGTGAATGTGTTATTTGGAACCAAACATTATTACGAAAAAATACATTTACTGAAATTTCTTTCTTAAGCTTAATGTTATTTATGAAAGTTAATTTGTGGAAGAAACAACAAATACTAAGCAACCATGAAAATCAACATCGCTTTTATTAATACAAGAACCCATTCATTCCTTTTATTATTACAAGAACTTAATTATTGCTCTATTATGGATACGAAATAGGAAACTCTCATCTCATACTGACCTTCTACGAGTTCGTGACTACATAAGACATTTTATGAATAGGCTCTTTAGCAACACATGTTTGGTTCTCTGAGAGGAACGGCCCCATTTCACATTTAATGTTATTACATCAGAAATAATTTTAAAAACGCACTTCAAAAATATCTATATTATATTTAATGTCGTTCTTTAGGAAATACAAAGTGCTGCTGTTTCGCATGATCTCCTGAGAGTATTGTAATAAAGATTTCTAGAAATTCCCTGTCCCCTTTGCAGTGGTCTCGATATTTTGTTGACTCACACGAATTAGTGTTGAGCGATCATAAAGTCATTGATACCTGACAGTTCTCAAGGATAAAACGTCGGGGCGGAGTCATCGATTTAGGCGATGAGGTAAGTCCCAGCCATTCACATGGAAGGCGCGCCCCAGCGAGAGGAGGTGACGAGGGAGTCGGTGATTAGCGCCTGAGTGGGTCACCTGCGTTGTGCAACGGCGGCGCGCTTCGTGGCGCCGGAATTGTTCTGCCGACCCACGCTCCCGTTGCATACGAGTTCACGGGTAAAGCCCGGCCAGACCGGTTCCTACTATCAAAGGCAGCAGCTACTCCGCTGCAAGCAGTAGAGAGACCCGTGAGAGACCGCTCAGTTTCAGTGATGAGGCTTTGGTAATTGGATAGGCAAGGGAATGCGAATTACTTGATGCGCAATTCTTCAGTACTTGCTTCTAGGATGATATTAAATAGAATGTATCGCATTAAATAGAGATTGACTTGTGTTTAATTTTATATTAAAAGAAAGAAGAATTTCGTTTTTACAGTTTATATTACAAACAATTTTCGACATACTGTACTATTGGATAAGAAAGTGGTTCAAAATAAAAACAATTTGAGAGAAGTATTTCATTTAAATAAAACATTAAATTATGTAATAATGTTATTTGTCTTTGTCATTTGATTCTATACGTTTACTTAGCTTTTACCGATCCTATTCATATGAATATTTACACACGTGTTCGTTTCTTTCGTCTTTACGACATTAATTTTCAATTAAATTTACTAAGAAGGACAACAACGGTGGATTGGAGAACATGTGAAGTCCATACAGTTGTGGATTTAAAACGCTTATGTTATTCGCGGGCTGTGCTAGCATCTACCTGCGCGTGTTTAAACTACAGAATCGTTTCTCCAGAGCCATGTAGATAGCAGCACAATCTGTATTGTGCGGGGTTTTCTCAAACGACGAACAAACATTGAAGTAAAGTTGTTTAGTTTACGGTATTTGTAGAATTTTGCAAAATTGCGAAGAAATTAATTTTTAATTTTTCAGCATTACAGAATGTTATTTTCAAGTAAACTGGACATGTGCATTACAAAGCTTGCATTGACCCGCTGATAAGATTTAGGTAATTCTTCCTATTGTTAGTGAAATAATTGAAAATAGGATTTTTCGGTTATATTAAATTTCGGCTGAAACACATATTAGGCTGTTATGCCTGAAATGTTGAATATTCAGTAATCATCCTCATCATTATGTTTTATGAAGTTACTCAAAGCAATTTCGGCAAAAGTAGTAAATTACTAAATATTATATTAGTAGGATTCTGTGTGATAACAGAAGTAATTTAATACAATGTTTCGGTCCAGATGTGAGGAGCTTTGATTCAGCTGAATTTTATTGCTTAATATCTCTCAAAGAGCCGAGCTTGTTCATGGTCTGCTGTGCTTTGTGTAGTTTTCGTTAGCAAAAATTAAACTTGATTGCTTACTCCGTTTGAGACGCAGGTAGGGAAAATCGAAAATGCTCAGTACTTTTGTAATAGTATTTGAGAGACTTCTATTGACTCTAAATTATTAATTGAGTGACTGATTGGGTCGAATTCAGCTGCTGTCTGGAGGATAATTTTGAGGGGCCGACTTCTCTCATCAGTAGTTTCTTAATACCAGGTGAATGCAGGAGCAGTACCCTGACACAAGGGCCACGGACCGTGGGTGATCTTTCCCTTCTCTTCCTTGTCTATCCTATACACACACACACAAACACACACTTTCACTCACATGCATTACACTATATTACATATCGGGAGTCCAATCGGGAGCTTAGAGCTTGTTCCAGCACGGGAGCTCCCTTGCGAGGGGAGACACGTGGAGGGGGAAATCAACCAGCAAGTCGATGTGTAGATCGGCGCCGGATGTTACCATACAGGTGAGTATAAACACCGCTACTCTCCAAAATAAAATGGGACTAATGTCATATCAGTTTACATGCCTGGAAACAATAATTGTGTATTTGATGTTTCTGATTGCGACTTCTACTTTGCTCATAACATGAGTGGTGAAGTGTATGTTACATCGCGGGAGGTGACGATGTACCTCACCCGCTGGAATGAGATCTGGCTTCGACGTTAACTTGGGTTTTTGGGGGTTTCTCTCTCCAAGTATAGATCCTAGTTGAGACAAAACCGTAAGTTCCCAAAATGTGAATGTGCAATTGGAAAGACGACAAGGGTGAGGAAGGGACGATCGCACGCGGACCGTGATCCATCGTTAAGGCACTGATCCGGCATTCGACCGATGTTGATGTTATTGATCGGAGAAATCACGGAAAACAACCGATTGGAGCAGCAGGTCGCTAGAGTTCTCTCCCTGACAGTGGTTGAAGACGTAGCCATCTGTGTATCTAGTGTCGAAAATCCGACACCGACGGGTCTTCTACCGTAGTACCTCCCGGTCAGTGACATTACAGAGGCAATGAAAAAGCTGCCAACGAGAAATCGCAGCCGGCTCATTTAAAATCTAATTAAACGCATTCCACAGTAGTGCAACGAAGTAGCGATAGACAAATCAAGAAGAAAATTACGAGATGGGGCATGGTGCTTGTGGATTTCGATTGGTGGGGAAGGGGTCAATATAAAATAATAAATCAATATGTAAATGATGTTGCTCAACAGTTTATTACATAAAGGCAGCGCCGGCGCATACAGTGGCGCCGGCGTCCCCGAGCGGCGGTCGAGGAAGCTGCCCGCCTGCGAGGCAAGGTGGTGCGCCCCGCGGCCCAGATCTACAACCTAATCGCGATGGCTTATGCGGAGGGCGGCGCCCCCTCCGGGAAGAGCCTCGACCACGTGTCCATGCGGTCCTGGAACAGGCCCTGGCGGAGGTCGAGCGTGGAGTTGGCGAAGTTGAGGTAGTTGAGGTTCTCAACGGTGAAGGGCTCCCAGATGACGTTGTCGAGCAGCGGGTCGGCCTCGGGCGTGGGGTGGCCGTGGATGACGAAGTTGCCCCACAGCTTGGTCAGGCGGTCGATGGCCCAGTTCTCGGGCGCGGAGGAGTCGAAGTACGGGAACACGGCGGCCAGGTAGAAGAAGTACATCACGTCGTCCTAACGGAGAGAATAACACGTTCAGTCCCATGGAAACACGTCGGAAAATGGGAAAATAAAAATTTGCTAAGCGATATCTTCTTCTCGTAAATACATTCTCGAACAATTTTCTTTTAGATATTCAGTTTTTTTCTGTACACATTCAGATGAAAAGTTTGTCTTTGCATATTAATTAAATCAAATCAAATGCTCCTCAAAATCGTTAACAAAACTGTACCAAGAATATTAATTTTTGTACCCATCGCAAAGTGTAAGTACACTTCTTATATCGTATTCGAGTATTGACAATGCAGTTTCCTGAAAAGTACTCCATTTTTCTGCATTTTGTAAAAAAAGTTATACCGAGATGTATAATATAATAGAATATAATAACATAAGAACCAATCTTTACATTTTTTCAAGTATAGGCCATCTCGGACCATGTGTGTATCCCACTTCAGCAGGTGCAAATACCTTTCTGGGGGGGGATCAGCATTTTAGCTGAATCCCGATTTTTATCCCCTAAGGTTGCTAGCCCTGGGGGTATGGACGATGAGATGATGATGGTGAGGAATAAAAGGATGCAACCTACATATAGACATTCACAAGTACACCCATGCCCGAGGTGGGACACGAACGTGCAGTCTTCTGCTCGGAGACCGGAACGTCGTACTTCCCTAACAAGTTCGGCCATCTCACCGGCTATTCTTCAAATGTATATAAAATGAATGAAATTTCTTTAAACCACTGTGAAACTTAGGTGTTCACAACATAAATTCTCAAAAATTACATTCCATTTTAGTGGGGGAGATTGATAACCAGATGGCGTTCTTTAACGTGGGAGTAACAACTCACCTGGTGCATGACACCATAGGGAATGCTGGTGTTGCCACGGTACTGGTAGCTGTAGCGGCCCTGGTATTCGAAGTTGTAGTACCAGACGGGAGCCTTGCTAAGGGAGGCCACGGTCTTAACAGCGCGGTCCTCGCCGAAGCCGATGATGGAGTCGGAGTACAGCTGCACAGAGCACAAGACAGTTGTGGAGTGTTTGTGAGAAGATGCTTCTTTCATCAAAGTTAATTTCTCAAAACCCGAAGAGAAAAAAGTATTAAATGTGCACAATCTACGAACCTTCCGATTTTATGAGAAAACCACCATATACCGAAACTACGTATTTTGAATTGAAAAACGAGTGGATTAAACCTAACTCCTTTTGCATTAAGTTGGTAAATTATTTGAAATGGTCCTTATTTATTATAAAAGTGTTTCGAAGAATACCTTGCCCAGAGGATCAACATTCTCAGCAGTAACATCGCCGTTGTGAATGTAGAACTCGCGCAGTTGGTCGCTGATGTAGTCGCTGTTTTCGTGGGTAACGTACATGAAAGCCTTGGGTGCCACAGCGTCCCAATGTTCGTTCATATCAGTGCGGAGGGAATCATCATTGAAGACAGCTGTGACAGAAAGAAAAGAGTTTAGATGATACAGATAGTCATGATTAATGTACTTTTCATGCCCTAAGCTGGCATTCATCGAGTTGCAAAGACAGATTTGGTTACACATTTGAGAAATCGTCTATGTTAGTATGTTAAGTAACTTTATCTGTAAGATGGTTATATTTTGTTAATTTTAATAATCAGTAATATTAATGTGGATCAAAATCAAATACAGTACTGAAATAGTTTTCTGGATCTGTTAAATGTACAACTTGGAAATATTTAAAGGCAATTTTAACTGATATTTTAAGGCCATTAAAAAAAAGAATGCGGAAACAGTTTGATATTTTTTCTGTTATATATCTTAATTATTGTTTCAACTACTCAATAAATAGATAACGTAAACCATTTGAAACTACAAAGACTTATCCAAAATTGTATTATCCAAATAATATTAGGTATACAATAAATAAATAACAACTCCACAAAATTGGCAAATTTTAACCTCGAAAAAATGGGGAAGCGAAATGAAGACAATTTATTAACTATGTGGCATTAATTAGTTTCAGCGAAAAAGAGACTCCACTAAAAATAGTGCCAAATCATCGATCGAATACTTAAATAAAGTAAACAATTTACTTACTACTGTGTTGATAAAAATATATGAAAAGTATGAAATAAAGTGTTAACAAATCAATCCTACCCCACATGTAACATGTCTCGATGACATTCTTTACCTTTAGCGGTAGTTCATGAAATGTGATAAATATCAACAAGAGTTTGTGTCATGTGGTGTGATTTGTGGATTAGACAAAATTTCACGTCACCACTCGCCGGAACGCACATATAAATTAATCATGTTTCCTGGACAGCCATTTAAGATGAATGAAAACATTATAAACGTAAGACAGTTGATATAATATATGTTATTCGTAAACCGTGAATTTTGTTGTTTTCATATATCCAATTCAATCCAGTTGAAGTACTTATATGTATCCGCATATACTATCACAAAAACTTATGAATCAAAGGAGTTATTGTTTCCAAACTTGGCATGAATACCTTTGAACATCTGGTAATCAAAATAGCGGGATTACAATTCAAACCGATACCTGAAAATGCGTTTTCAGACAATTTTAATAGATACGCGCAGTCCGCTAGGGGTCTGCTCGCGCTATCTAACGGCGAACTTTGTCGACGCGATGCATTGCGCGCCCTCAAGTGGCGGCACACCAAACAGAACGAATTCACTTTCTTTCCGACAAGTTCATATAGGACTTCATGACTTTCGAATGTGAAAGTTTGCATGTATTTTCGCATACGTGTAATAAATAAGACACCAAATAGTAAATGATATATACATATTTAGACATCTTATAAATGATTGTAAAAAATAAATCATGCAAATATCCGGTTACTTCCATTAGTAGGCCTACCAGTATAAAAATCAAGAAGATATGGTTTATTTCGACCATGAAATAAACTAGTGGTGTGTCAAAGGCACATTGTTTCTCCTATTATTTGTAATGTTTTACCATTTTCGAAAATTCCGAAAGAACAACGAAAATCGGACCTGTGCATTTTTTATTAGTTTACCTTGTATTTTCAAGGGAAATAATTAAAAATGGTTTGATAATATTTTATATTTAAAATTGTCATTATTTCACGCAAAATTACGCGACAACTATTCATATTTTGAAAAAACTGAGAGACCTTATTTCAAAATTTTGAAAATGTTCAACTTATGCAATTGTCGCAAATTTAGAGATTTCAAACATTTTACTGGATCCATTTTTAAGCATTTTTGTGATAGCAGAGAAAACGTTATATAAACAAATTTGACCAGTTTTCGAGAAAATTTTTAACATGTCGAATCTTCATATGTAGTGCCTTAAAAATGAAAATATACGTTTCAAATTCAAGTGACCCCGGCATTCGCGAAATCGAAGAATAGACATTTTGGTAAAAATCCGGCTTATGGTTCAGCTGCTAGTGTTGTTCACAAGAACACACAAAACGTGGATTCTAACTTAACAGCGTATCAAGCCGTAATTTACTACACATTTACACACTTACTATTTAGGAACAAAAATTATCCGCGCGTTTTCAATATCAAGGAACCTCAAAACTAATTTTTCTATAAAAAATCGCCGCTTTTTGTTGCAGCATTTCAATACCTTCTCCATAATACACAAAAAGGAACCGTGTGGAAGTGTGACAGGGGCTTAGGTAATTAATTCTGGAGGGCGGCGAAGGTGAGGGAGAACTTAGATGATTACTCCAGGAGGGCGGCGGGAGCTTCGGTGATTAATCTTGGAAGGCGCCGAGAGCTTAGGTGATTAATACTGGAGGACGGCGGGAGCTTAGGTGATGAATCCTGGAGGGTGGCGGAGGTGAACGAGAGCTTGGATGATTAATCCAGGAGAGCGCCTGGAGCTTAGGTGATTAATCCTGGAGGGCGGCGAGAGCTTAGGTGATTAATCCTGGAGGGAGGCGGAGGTGAGCGAGAGAGTAGGTGTTTTATGGAGGGTGGCGGGAGCTTAGGCGATTAATCCTGGAGGGCGGCGGAGGTGGGCGAGAGCTTAGGTGAAGTCCTGGGAGGGCGGCGGAGCGCAGGTTTTCGCGAGACTCACTGGAGGCGCGCCAGTCGAACTCGTCGCGGGTGCGGCCGGTGATCCAGGGCACCTGCGTGAAGTTGCCCGACAGGAAGATGTCCTGCACGTTCTGCGTGAGGAAGTGCTCCTCGCCGGGGGTGTCCTTCTCCACCACGGGGTACCAGATGAGCACGGGGTCGATGCCCCAGTCCTGCGCACGCGCCGAGCGCTCGTCACTCCACGCCCCGACCCCCCCCCACTCCGCCAATAATGTGTAATAAAGAACACATATTCACAAGTTAAAAAACGTCTCGAGAATACTGTTCACGTGGAGATCCATGAGTAACGACTAACAAGTTCTTTGGAAATTAACTACTTGTAAACAGTAAAGCTTAAACAACATTTGCGATCTCTTTCGTGCTGTTTTGTGAACACATCGAGAGTCTTTTGTATACTTTTTATTACGTATGTATCAACAGTGCAAAGCAATATAAAGACGTCCTTGAGCGCAGCTCCTCTAATGAAAAAGCATTCAAGCGTGTAATAGTTCTGTCTGTAAAATTACCTGGTAATTTTTTAAACAAGCGACTATTTCTTACGTAATGTAACATTATAAACTCTTTTACGATTTGCGAAATAGCTAAAAACGATCAAACCGCGATTTAACTCTCTTGGTATTTTGTACGTGAAGATAAAACGCGACGTTGTGTAGTGTGCGGGGCCGTGCACTTACGAAGAGCTCTCCAGCAGCGAGCACGCCGCTGATCTGCTGCGCGGGCAGCTCCATGAGGCAGTCCTTGATCTGCTGGGAGGTGCCCACCTCGGTGCAGCCGGCCACCTGAGCCTGGCGACGCGCCAGCTCCAGGGGGTTGCGAACGTCCTGCGCAAAGCACACGCTCTAGATCCTCCCCCGCCCCCGAGTGCGGACGCGTGGCCGTGAGACCTTACGTAGCGTCCTGCTTGTTAGGCTGTTTAAATATTATTCTCTGCTTGGGCGCAAATGTCTTACAAAGGTGTTCAATATTTTACTACAGTAAACTGTCAAAATTCGACATATTAAGATTGCTTGAGATTTATTCTGTTTAAAATTAATTCTACGCTAAAAATGATAAGTATTGACCAAGGGATTTAAAAATATTCAATAAAATTAAGGGATTTATATGCTACAAAAGGTGGTGGTCTAAATTAATCTTTCGGGAATAGAGAAGAAATAAGTCCTGTACTGCACAAATATTTACCCAGGTTACGTTCTGATTTGCAAGTTGCATCTGTAATTGAGGTGTGATTCCGGTTCGATAATGCCCTTCGATAATAATTAAACTCTTTACATATTTGAAAATTCGAAATGAACTATGATGCTTCCATTAATTATTTTCTTATTTTTTAAAGTTATTTTGTAAAGGTTTAAAATTACTTGAATGTTTAACCAAGTAATGTATGCTTAATGTGAATAAACGCTGTCGATCGTTCATATTGAACATACAGACAATAAGGTTCAGAGAGTAATCAGTTCATTTTGTAATACTTGTAATTCATATATTCTTACGATTGTAAGTTCTGAAAAAAACTACTTTTGAAAGAATACTTCTAATATATTACTAATTATATGGTCGTCCTGATGACTACTGCAGAATTATTACCATGCCAAATCTTTCGACAGTTCATAAGGCAATGCTATTAATTATTTCATCACACTATTTATTGTCATGTGCAAAGTTATTACGATAGTGTAATGTATGTATCATTAAGTATTATATTATATATGATGTAATAGGTTTTGGCTTTTATTAGATTATTGTCACACTTTCCGCCTTGTATAACAGTAAATTAACTATTTTCTTTGTAGCTTTTTATAATTATTAGTGATATATTGTAACACACCTTAGGAATATGTCTGTTATGACTTTTTTTTCAAGTGCTCTATGCTTAATAATGCGTTTGGGATGAACTGCGAGACGAAGTTCACTCACCTCGGTGAGATCGTACTGGGCGTTGATGGAAGCGCTGAGGGCCATGGCCTGCTGGAAGAGGCCGCGGGACATGGGGGAGGCCAAGTGGAACCAGACGGCGGCGGCGCCTGCGCTGTAGCCGGCCAGCGTGACGCGGTTGGGGTCTCCGCCGAAGGCCTCGATGTTCTCCTGCACCCAGCGCATGGCGGCGACCTGCGCAAACCCGCCCGCCCCGTTCACCCCCACTCGCCCCACTCGCCGCCATCACTCGCCCCACTCACATCCCACTCGGAGAAGCACAGAAAACGACGGCGGGACGACAAGAAGAGGTAAAGAGCGACAAAAAGAGTGGAATTGAAGGTGCAATTACTGCAATTAAAGAGGGCAACGTTGAGAGCTCTTCAGAATAAGAGAAAGATAAATGTATAGAAAAGAAAGAAACACGAAAAGAAACCTCTAAGCATGAAGTTTCTTTCGTAACAATGTTCCAAGGCTTTATTTGGCATTGAACTGGGAGTAACTGTCCTTGAACGTACTCATATGTCATTAAACGTGTCCAGATATTAACTTCGCGGCACGAACAATTGAAATTCATTTCTCATCTTTTTTAGCGCCTTGTCAATTAATTCGTCTTAAATGAAGCAATTTTGTACTAATGTCATTTTGCAATTTATTCTTATTGGCAGGGAGTCGATTCTCAGACGGCCATCCATCGAGGGATTCTCGGTGTCTCAAGCTGTTTAGTCTCCATGACTTTAGTGAGTGTAATTAAGCAGTTCGCCACTGGATACCGACTTAAAGCGATGTCTAAAAACTTATCTAAAAGCGTAAGCTAAAAACTTAATAAGAAATCTGAAACTAGAGGTAAAAAACTGTGAATAATTCCAAGTGGGGTCTTATAGATCTTAATCACTCATTCTTTGAAATTATTTAGTTCTGATACTATTTAATATTTATTAAATTTTAATACGTTTTAATTATAATGAAAGCAGAAATTAAATGTGTATTTCAATATTAATGGCATACCTGATGTCTGTTTGAAGTAATCGGAGTACTGAGAATGATTGCCATAGAGATCGCCAAATACTGATTTATAAACGACTAAATTACATCTTTCAAAACATGTTACAGAAAGTACGAAATATGATGAAGTGAAGTAATATTTCTGAGTTCAAGGTAGCTTCAGTTAATGCTCGAGTAACACTTGATTGGGAATTCATTTATAGATGGTTTACAGTCCAAAAGAGTTTCGAGTTCAATTATATGCGGGCAGCTAAAAGTCGTTCAAAAAATAAGCTACTGAACAGATATTAGATCCGCGCTAGGAGCATTTGAAATGCATTTCTCATCTTCTTCAGTCCCTTGTCAAGACACAATCATTCACTCCCTAACGATTGCTTTTTTAGTGCACTGTGATGTCTGCAATTGTACATGCGATGTATAGTACAGTGAAGACAAATAAGAATATAGGAGAAGTAGAAGAAAATATAAATATAAATCATATTCATAATAAGGAATGAAGTGTTTGCAAAAAACAGATAAAGAAATAAACATTCAAACAAATAAATAAATAAGAAACAATGGAACAGAGAGTGAAATGAAAGGTAAAGTTAACGGGACGATAAGTGATCTACGCAGTGTGGATATTATAAACCAGAAGTGGGAGGCGTTAAGAATGCGTTTTTCTAGAAAGTCATTCAGAAAGCTTCGAACTGAACAGCGTACCTGATCCTTCATGGCGTAGTTGCCAGTGAGCACGTCATCACCAGTGGAGATGAAGCCCAGGGCTCCCAGACGGTAGTTGAAGGTGACGATCACGAGGTCCTGGTCAGCCAAGTACTGAGGTCCGTGGTTGTCACTGCGAGCGTTGTTGCCGTACCTGGGAACCATTGCGAAAACACGTAGTACTTCAACCCGGCTGAGAGCTCAAGACTTTGTTCACATCTCTCAGATTATCTCAGAGAAACTAAAGGGGAATATTCGATGGATGTATTTGATATTACGATATTACGGTTTATACTTAATCAGAACAGGTAGTGAAGTGCAGTATTTTATGGAAAATTTGACATGGAGTTGCAGCTTTCCACTATTATAGCGTAATATAATGTATATCGTATCCTCGTACTTCGTGTTACTCGTTAATCTCTTGTAGTACGGTATTTTAATTTAGAAGCGCACATACGGTGAAATATACATAAAATTATGTCCTGCTAATAAATATCTTTTGTTCAGGTGTTGGTAACATTGCTTCGTTAAAGACAGTACTACGTCTTTTGCTTATGAAATGCAATTGGGGTGAATATCTTAAAAAAATATTCAATACTTGTAGACTCATAAAAACAAAATTGTATTATTAAATAGAATTATATCTATTACCTTCTCGCGTCTCACGAGTTTGAACTACTAATGCTAAGAATACCAAAAAGGAACTATCGGAGGCTACAAAAACTAAAAATATTTTGTACAATACCGCTACAGAATATACCATGTCGATATTTATCATTTCAAATTCGTAAAAGCCGTGTCATTGCCGGCGCCTGGGCGTAATTAATAGAGCCAAAACCCATCGCAAAGTGCAGTGTACTGACCATCCACCCATGTGGATGTAGAGGAACACGGGTCGCTTGGGGTTGGTGCGGGCGGTGGGCAGCTGCGTGGTGTACACGTTCAGGAAGAGGCAGTCCTCGTTGGTGGGGAAAGAGTAGCCGTTCTCCTGCGGGCAGGCGGGGCCGTCCTCGGTGGCGTTGAACACTCCTTCCCACGCAGGGTAGGGCTGCGGGGGCTGCAACACGAGACAGTCTCTTGTCGTGGTACTGTTCTGTTATGTCGTCTTAACGAAACAAGGGGAAGGAAAAGGCACTCGTAATGGCTGGTGTCCGTTAAGGAATTTACGGTCCGCCGGTTGAGAACAATCGAGAAACCCGAATTGTATCTGCAGCGAATGAGTACACCAAGTAAGGTTTTTTAAAAATAAAAAGTTGTTATTATAAAACGTTTTGAACGATACGTGACTGATATCACAAATAACAAATATGTTTGGTTGTAAGCTTTGGTTAAAGAATCGGTTTACAATCTTCAACCAGGTCAGTAATTCAGTCTACGACGCCCTAATGAGGTTGATAACTATTACATTGCTCTCTCGCACAGAGATCGAGCGGTAACGATTTTGAAGAGTAGAGACTACTATACCACCAGCATAGCATTCACATTACAGTAATGTTCTTGTAAATGTAACGATGACTGCTTCTCTGTGATACGTTACGGTGGACATTAGAAAATATTTTTCTTTAAATATTCGGATAAAAATTGTTTTTAATCAACGAACGTTTTAATTCATCTATTAGATGCTCATTTTCTAGAAATGTCATCTCTTTGAGTTACAAACACTCCAAACATGTTAATCAACATTAAAGTTCTAAGATTGTGAGATTTATAGTTGACATTAAATATCTGTAAAATATAAGACGAATGTACGCCACATATATTCCTAGGCCCCATTTTCTATTACATTTTTTTATTTACATATGAAATATTTTACTAAAATAAGTAAAACATACTACTAGGAGATATAAATTGTAACTATAATGATGCAATTAATAAATACAATTGGTTTATGTTGAACGCGTTCATAGTGTAGCCATGTACATATAAGGGCTACCTCAAAAAAACATAAAAAATTCCAGAAATTGATAAGTTGCAAAAAAGGAAATTTAGGGCTTGAACATATTTATTGCAATAAAATAATTAATTATGTAAGGCTCTTTGAAATTTATCTTTGATGCTGAAATTGGCTCTTTGAAAGAGATACCACGCCCCACTCCCCTACGGTATGGCGGAATGAGATCTAGGTAGGGCGTACCTGGAAGCGCAGGGGCCCGACGGGCGCCTGCACGTAGCGGATGCCCCGGAAGGCGTAGATGAGGCGGCCGAGGCGCGACTGCAGCAGCGAGCCGCGCAGCGTGCCCTTGCTGATGGTGACGACGGGGTCCTCGAGGTCGGCGTCCGCCGCGCCGTTGGTGTAGGGCGAGGGCGCGGTGGAGGTGAGCGGCGCGTCGTAGGCGCGGGCGCCGATGAGGCGCGGGGAGTCGATGAGGGCGCGCGCCGGCACCGCCAACGCCCACAACGCCCACAGGGCGAAGGTCTGCGCAACAACGCGCCCTCTCAGATGCCACTCTCTGCTGCGATTCGCTCACGCGGTTACGTTCGCTCGTAAACATCTTAACTCTATGCTCGGGAGCGAAATCTGCATTTGTGGTGAGTTTGAAATGAGTTAGACCCGATTTACTCGCTTACTTTTGACGAACGATTTCGGTGTTTTAGCCAACGCGTCCATAAACAGAGTCGCTTGTGATTCGCGAGTTCTGGACGGACATGTTCGAAATCGTTCATCAAAAGAAGGGTGTGAATTGAAGATTAGAATTATTTCCGGGATGGCGAATTTCTTGGCGAATAAAATACGTATATTTTGATCTCCGATTTTGCGTCCCGTGATGCGAAAAATAAGTAAAATAAAGGCAATATTTAGGTATGTCGTTTAGCAACATAATTATTTCATGTCCACAAAAGGGTTCCGATGTTTTCAGAATTTACAGAGCAATACGTGAATATAAATTAATTTTTGTAGAGCTAACTTATCTTGATGAACTTCGCATCTCTTGGAAACATTGCCAACTTGTTCACGCTCATTACATCTCATCGAGAGAAACGAGTATCGAGGTAGTTTGAGAGTCATTAGAAGCCTGTGCCGAAATTAAAGTTGCAGATCATGTTAATTAAATAAGTGCACAGAAGAAACGTACACGGCATAAAAGCAGCGACCTATATCCCGAGCATTGACCGTAGCGAAATAGAAATCCCGAAAACCCGTTCGAACCGTGCGTTGAAAAAAAACCCGTCCGGGCGGCTGCAGATGTGATACGCACCCAGGAGGTGGCTGTCGCCGCTGCGCTGCGTTGTGAACGTCCCATCGCGGAGGATGGCTGAGGCGGCGCGCCGCGCGCCTATATGGGTCTGGCGCCCGCCC